AGAGAGAGAGAGAGAGAGCTGGTTTCAGGGCATGGCAAGTGGGGAGGGACGGCACGATGATGACCGTATGATTTCAGCCCTGATCAGAGGCGTCTGCTTTTGTGTGTGTGTGTTTTTCGCAGCGAAAGATAAAACAGTTGATGCGATTGATCCTGAATGAAAGGAGGTCTGACTCTTCACAGCCTTGTATCCACCTAGGAGGTGTGTCTCAGATGATAGACCCTGTGAATTTGAATGCATGTATGTTTATTCTGTGTGTGTCCATACAGAACAGACAGCCATATGCACATCTGAATGACACATTCTACAAAGCAGAGAGCCATGAAATGGAAAAGAGCTATAAAAACCTACCTCTGAAAACCAATTATGTGTTTGAGCATGTGTTTATACGTGTCTTACGTATGTCTGTGTGTGTGTGTGTGTTTGTTTAAACCTATGCATGTTACCAGTGAAGGAGAATATTAGCTTCAAGGCTCATGGTGTTAGATGCGGTCAAGAGAGAAGTACAATGAAACACATTTATCCTGTTGTCTTGGCTGCAAGGACCCTGTGAGCCTGGCATGTACTCACACACACTCACACACTCTGCTATCACTAATAATCATCTGGACACCTGCCATACAGAATTATCCCTGCAACTCTGAAAGATAACAGAGGTTACCAATAAACCCGACCACACGCACTCACGCTGTACATTAGCTTGTCTCTTGCGCCTCTTTTAGTCAGGTGCCAGTGCACACACACACACACACACACACACACACACGATTCAGTGTATACTTTTTACTTCTTGTTGCGACTTCGTCACATGCCATCCACATTTCAAATACATACACACTGACGGAGCCACTCCAACTCGTTGTGGAGCTCCTCCATGCCAAACATTCACAAGCACTCCTCAATTTCCTCCTGAAAGCACATAATTAACTAATCACGTTCATATTCATTCAAATTTATCGCCTTTCATCGCCTTCAGAAATAACACAGCCGTGTGCAGAGCTAAGAACACCTCCCAGTGTATGTATGTGTGTGTGGGTGCAGATTGGGTATTGATGTTCTGCCAGGTGGAGTGTGTTATGGAATGGATCAGAGAGGAGTTTGCTCTTTTTTACAGCTCTTCATTAAGTGAAAGTAGAAATTGTTGTCTCTGCTCTCCCCAGGACAAAGCAAGGATCATTTAGGCCTTGTGTGTGTGAATTTGTGAATGTGTGTGTATGAAAGTGATAGAGACAACATATATACAGTATATCTGGTAAATTACATTATGAGAGGCTGTTTCTGTGTGTGTTGGTGTGAGTGTAAATGAAAGTGATAAGTCTGTATACATCTGGACAATCACATTATGAGCTGCTATCTGTGTGTGCACCGGTGGGCTGCATTACCGCATTATTGAATGAGACGGCCCAAGGTACAAACGAGAAAATGAAATAACTGCTGTATTGATTAATGTTAAGGGTCCGAACTAAGTGATACAATGCTTTTAACACAGGACAGATCTCTGTTCTGGGAAGCTCCGTATGAGGGTGCGGGGGTTGCGGAGAAACACAGAGACAGAAACTCAATAACCTTATCTCCACTCCTCTCTTCACCTCTCCTCCCCTCTCTTCGCTTTCTCATCTCCACTCATTTCCTCACGTTTGTCTCCTCGCCATCTCCCTCCTCTCGTCTATTTTTCCTCAAATCTCTTCCCACATCTCCCCCTCCTTGCCCTCATTTGTTCTCAAGCCCCATCTTCTCTCATTTCCTCACTCTTGTATCCTATCTCATCCCCCTCCATCCAACACCCATCGTCACCTCTTCTCTACATTCCCTTCCTGGTTCTCCTTTTCCTCATTTGTCTCTGTGGTCCAATCTCCACATCTGCACACATATTCAAAATGTGAATAATTTCCAATACTCTGACAGGAAACATTGAAACACTTATTGTTCAGCGCACAAAGACACACAGTTTAAACTAATCACTAGTTTCTTCAAACAGAAGACGGTGGTTTTGCTGGTTTTACCAGCACCTTTGTAGAACTTTATTTAAATATGTGTGTGTGTGTGTGTGTGTGTGTGTGTGTGTGATGTGGGCAGATGAGATGGAGCTCGGTAATTGAGGGTTTTCCAAATGAGCCGATTGTTGCAGCGATTGTAAAACACATAAAGGACGGATGGATAAAATGAGGGACGGGGGAGATGAAGGGAAGATAAGGAGATGGAGGGGGGCTGGAGGGGAGGAGGGCAGGAGGAGAGGGGCAGATTGCTGCACTTTCCTGATGTGTAGAGAGGCAGATAGAGAAAAGAAAGATCTATTTTTTTCTCTTTTTCTGCATGTGGTGCTCTAATTAGCATGACAATAGCAACAATCAGGTGACAGACAGCAGAGGAGGTTATTAGAGTGGCACACAGCAGGGGCTGAAGGCTTATGAGGTTTTAAGCGGAGAGAACACACACACACATGCACACAAATGAATGAATGAAAAAGGAAATCGCAAAAGTGCACTCATGTGCATACCCAGTACAAAATACAACTGTGCAAAATAAAAATAAATACCACTACATTAGTACTACCACTACTAATATATACACATACTGTATATATAGGTGTATATGTGCGTGTATACATAGAATAGAATAGAATAAACTTTATTGTCCCCGAGGGGAAATTTGTCTTGGGCACAGTTTGTTGCTTCACAGAAAAAAGCATACCTCAACAACAGACACACCTCAAAAAACAATTACAAAATCAACAT